TGTTCTTTTAGAAAAATAAAATGCGCATTGATAGTTATATTCTGTCCGACAAAATGAAATACGCTTTTCCACATAATTATATACGTGTGTCCCGCTTATATTTTATTATTCGTACTAATAATTTACAATTTTGACATCACGGTACATTAAAAGTTTGTAAAACGAATGTGACTGAATTGTAATGGTTCCATATTACTCTATTTACGAGAAGGATAATAAATAGTGATATGCGAATGTTTTGATATTATAGACAGAAGACCTTCATGATAAGTGGAACAAGCGCCGTTTAAAATACATCAAGTAACCCTCTCCCAGTTAGATCTCTGTTTTAATGTATTCCATTACACCCTATCAGCACTGTTTTATGGGTTAACCGCAAATTACTTGTGTTCTCAACATACTTTTTTATCTTTCAAATGATAAAATTAAATGTTTATGCTCGCACAGAAGTGTGAATTTGTAACAATGCCTCTAAAAAAATATGTTTGTCTTGACAGAGGTAGCAAAGATTTCAAGAGTCAAATTCTTTATAAAAGATACAACTCGTTTGGTGTGGACGACAATGCGGTCTTTAAAACGATTGACATCTTCTTTTGAAACGGCAGTGTTTGCGGAATAAACACAAATCATTGTGACTGTTGAAAGAAGCTATCAGCCGTTTGAATAGATGACTATAGCCGCATATTCTTTTCTATTGAAAATTTCAGTTCTACTGAACATTGTATTGAATTGAAAGTTGATCTAGTTAGATGTAATTTAGAGAATAGCATCTCGGACCTCCCAAGTGAAATGGCACATTTTATTAATGAAATGGGAGTTTTGTAGCGCTGGTATCGTTTGATATAATTATTATACGTTGCGATCGGCAGATAATATAAGTTATTTTCCCATTATTTGCTTATCGCGATAGTTAAATGGGCAATAACTGACAAAAGAAAAGATAACAATTATTTCAGTCTAACATAGCAATGGTTCGTTTACAAAAGGATTGAACCACACTAATGTGCAAATTTAATGTATCTTGGAATACTTTTTTTTTCTTTTAATCGTTATAAAAAAACCTACAGTTTGTTTAAACTAGCCAAAATGATTTGAGAACCTGTATCACGTTTACACGTTATAAGTGAAAAGTTGCCAAAGTGTTAACCAACATTTTTTTGCATCATGTAGGAAGTTAAAATGATGAAATAACAGATTTATACTGATTTTTTTTGTTGTTGATATTTTGATACTAGAAATAATCTTACTGAAAGTAAATGTCATGACTGATATAAACCGTTGTTGTTGCAATTTTGAATATGTTTTTTTAATGATGAACAGTGTAAGCCTAAACAATTTATGGTACAATTTAACCCTTTCGTCGCTTAGTTTAGAGATTAAAATCAGTTCTGACTTTTACTTATCCATTCTAAACCCGGTTGATCTCAGGGGCCCCTCAGTGCATATGGTTTAAGGCTCGAACGTGCACCTGATTAGAACCACCGACTGTCTGTAAGATCATGAAATAATCTAAAGTTACTGCCAAGATTCGAACCCACGGCGTTGAGGATGGGGAAAACATTTTTAAGCACACGACCTTAACCACTTGGCCAATTTCGCTGCTAATTCTAAATGTGTCAATATTAAAACTTTCGCTGGCTACTCTCACAGGGTCAATTTAAAAATTTCACAGTTACTCTTACAGGACCAATAATAAAATTATCACCGAAGGCTCCAAAATGGCAAATATTGAAATACATATAATAACATAGCTCAGTGGGTGACGAGTATCTCTACAGGAAAGTGTATCAGAGTTGATAATTTTTATAAGTCATGTATCTACTAAAGTATTCGAAGAATCTGGAGAATTTGGTTCAGATACCTATCAAGGATACATTTTATTACAAATGAAAAATGACTTATTATTAATGTAAAATATATACTGACAGGTAACCTAGTTTCAAAATTTAAATATTGTATATCAGTTTTTGTATGTATAGCAGGAAACTTGGTAGAAATTTACACTGGTAAGACACTTGGTTAGCAAAATAAAACACACTTGGTAAACAAAATAAATATAATTTGGGAAGACGCTTGGTGAGCAAAATGAAATTCATTCTAATAAGACGTTTGGTAAGCAAAACAAAACACTCTTGTAAGACACTTGGTAAGAAAATTAAATACACTGGTAAGACAGTTGGTAAGCAAAATAAAACACTCTGGTATGACACTTTGAGAGCAAATTGAAATACACACTGGTATGACGCTTGGTAAGCAAAATGAAATACATACTAATAAATCACTTTGTAAGCAAAGTATCTAAACATTGGTAAAATGCTTTGTAAGCAAAACGAGAAAAAAACCCTGGTATGACGCTTGTTAAGCAAAAAAGCACCGGCAAGACGCTTGGTAAGCAAAATAAAGCACACACTGGCCACACATTTGGTAAGCAAGATTAATAAGTCAGACGCTCTGAAAAAAGAAGGTCCAAAGTTATTGTGAAAATTGTTTTTGGCGATTTGTTCGTACTGTTTTTAGCACAAATTTTGGACTTCGATAATCGATAATGAAATCCTCTCAATTTTAGTACACTGTTCTAAATCAAAAGCTCGGCAAATCTATTAATAACATAAATTTAGCAAGATATGGGTAAATGGAGGTTACCATTAATAATATATTTACGTGCTACGTCACAAGCTGCTCACTGTACGGTTTATCACCGCAGTTAATATGATGTGCCACGTGAGAATTATGTAATATACAAATGTTATACAATTTAATAAACTCATTTAAAAGTCCATAAGTACTAATATTCATTGAAAATATATCTACGTAGCTTACTTTTGCATATGCAAGTATGATTGTATCAATCCCTGATTGTTTTCACGTTACTTCAATATAATACCCACTGTTTTATGGCATCTTTGTCTGTCTAAGTGATTTTGTATACTGAAAATGTATTCCTTTCCGCGATAGTTGAGATATGAAAATGCCCTAGTTTTTTTCCTAGGTTTATTTTTATTTATATTTATATTTCAAAAAGAAGATTTTGTTAGTGCCTGTCTTGAAGCATAGTAACTTTATTCACTAATGAATTGTTTCATGTCAATGATGTCATATAGATGTTATGGTGACTTTATGTGATGTTGATCTCATGTTGATGGTGGCGTTACGTCGATGATAATGTCATGTCGATGGTGAAATCATACCAATGGTTCAGTCATGCCAATGGTTATTTCATATCGATGATGATGTAATTTCGATGGTGTCGTTATTTCGATGGTGATGTCATGTCGGTGGTGATGCCATATCGATGGTGATGTGATTTCGATGGTGATGTAATTTCGATTGTAATGTAATTTCGATTGTGATGTCATGTCGATGTTGATGTAATTTCGATGTTGATGTCATGTCGATGTTGATGTAATTTCGGTAGTGATGTGATGTCGATGTTGATGTAATTTCGGTAGTGATGTCATGTGACAATATTCATGTCGATGATGATGTAATGTCGATGATGAAGTCATTCCAATGGTTCAGTCATGCCAATGGTAATTTCATATCGATGATGATGCCATGCCAATGGTGATGTAATTTCAATTGTGGTATTATGTCGATGGTGACTTCATATCAATGGTGATGTCATGTTGATGATGATGTCATGTCGATGGTGAAGTCATACAAATGGTTCAGTCATGCCAATGGTAATTTCAAATCGATGATGATGCCATGTCGTTGGTGATGTAATTTCAATTGTGGTATTATGTCGATGGTGACTACATATCAATGGTGATGTCATGTTGATGATGATGTCATGTTGACGATGATGTTATGTCGATGGTGATCTAATTTCCATGGTTGGTGATGTCATATCGATGGTGACAATTATATATTTTTATCTCTCGAAAGGCAATTCCTTGCATTCATGTGCTCAACGTATCATAAAAGTTTGGTAACAGGTGTGTAATAAGTCGCCTCACTTTTCGTCTCATTACGAGAAAGAGGAAAACAACTTTGACACTCACTGTAGGTCCGATATAAACGTGTTTCTTTTTCCGTCACAAGGGAATGGCCAATAAGATTTTATGACTGTTTTGATGATTCACATTTGTAGTGTATGATTAACGTCACCGTATCAATATATTTCTGATGAATAAACGTAAAATTTAAAAATGAGTACATTGTTGTTGTAATGCCTCTGATTATGCTATTGTTGTTGATTTATTAATGTTTCAAAGAAAAATGTTTTGAAAAAGGCTCAAATAAAAGTCAGAAAGATACAATCAAAGCGATAAATACCGTTATGAACAAAACGATAAATGTCGATATCATTTAAACGTCCCATTTTTTGCTTCAGGAATGCTTTTACTTTTATTTCTCTAAAGCTTTTAATTTCTGGTGTCCTTTGCAATTGTATTGCAATAGGATACTCGTTGAAAATAACCTCAACCAAAATTTACTTCTGTTGTTTTTTTATCAATAATTTATATTGATTTAGTATTTGGTATGGAAGTCAAAAAACTACTTTGTTAACGCTTTGTTACTCGTTTGACAGTTAATCTTATATTTAGCAGAACAGAACAGTTCTGTTCTGTTCTGTTCTGATAAAATGGGAAAAATATAAAAAAATCCTATTTCAACAAAAAAAAACAGTAACTGCTGATATGACCAAAACGATAAATATCGATATCGTCAAAACGATGAATGCCAATGTCATAAAACTAACAATGCCGATATCACCAAACCGATAATTTCCGACATAATAAAAATATAAGAATTTACAGTGTCGTCGTATGAATTAATATTTGAATCGAAAAACGGGAATATTTTTTTATCATTCTCTACTTTTGAAAATATTTCGGCCGAAGGCCGTCTAAAATTAGTTTGACTTCCTGTAAAATTTACAGAGAAGAATGAATATAAGAAGAATTTTCATTGGTCAATTTAAATTTATTTTGAATTCCCAGGATGCAGTTAATATCCAGTGAAAAGCAAATAAAAATATGTTGATGTGTTTACAGGTGCGGATCCGGACCGACCACTAAGGTTCTATGATGTGAAAGCTCACCCGATACCCATCATAACACCAGGTACACTGTACGTGTCCTTTAAAGGCAATATCAGTAGAGACCTACCGAGAACTATTGCAATAGAACTGGGTCTTGTGAAATATTTCGTTGGTATTCCATTTCCACTGCCATGTTTTGATAACAGACTAGGTTCTTGGTAAGTATATATTACCATGATATTTTATCTTTATTTTTTAAAGGGATGATTATATTGTTTCGTTTTAAATAGATATGCGGATATGCAATGGTGATAATTCTAATATTGGACGATAATGAATAATGTTTATGTCAGGTCTATAGTTACTCAGAATTCAAAACATCTCATTGTCCGGATGAAACGAAACAAAATATAAAACCAAATTTTTTACACGATATTATTTATTTATCTTTTTTAACTTATTTTAACGAAATATTTTTAATGAAAAAGAGCACAGTTCAATTTTTCTATTTTACACACACTTTATAATCATTGCACCATCTTAAAGCAGAATGCCTCCAAATTTATGCTTATTTTCATGAAATTTTCAAATGTTTTTTTTAAGTAAAACATTGTAAGGTAAACAAAGAAAGTAATGTACACATTACAAACGACACTTACAATCAACGTAAATTACCAAACAGAGGTCAAAATATACAAAAATACCTGTTACTGCGTTAGTCACGCATTAGAAATATGGCGATAATTACTGCAAAAAATGTCATTAATTGCACAAAACGTAAATTATTGCTTAATTCTTTTTACTTTTCTTAAAATCTTAGAACATTTTTCTCAAGTTTTATTTTCTTCATCTGATGACATACAGCTTTAATCATGTAATATGAATGGCAATCCTTCTTGTAATTAAAAGGAATCAGAAAATGAGTCAAAACCTATATTTCCACCACTGAACTTGCAAACACCGAGCGAAAATATTAGTCAGTTCTAATTAAATATTGCTTAGAGTTTTGATGCTGAGTAACAACAGAAAATCTATTTTTCTTTGCAATATTGCATTGTTTCCCCGGATACTTTGAAATGGTTTCACGGAGCTTTCACAGGAATTTCACAAGCGAAATTGCCCTTGAACGATTGATATAAATCGGGCTTTTATATAAAATTCCGGTGATCTATAATGGTGATTTTATTGATTGGCTGTAAGAATGAAATGTTAATTCGTTAGTTATGGCATTTTCCGCCTTCAATATATCATTTCTCACAGCATGTCTTGAAGTTTGTTTTTATGACACATTTTAATTAAAATAATGATCAAGATCTGAACCGCGTTTTTTGTCTGATTAAAGGACGTAAGTCTGTATTGCATTCTCAATGCATATTTTCCTTTTTATTCCTTGCCGCTTTTTAATCAATGTGCTATTGATTTCGGTACAATTTGGTCAATTTTGCAAGGGTGTGTTGCTTTTGATGTAGTATATTTGTAGATTTGTTTTAAAGCAATTGAATAAACCTAAACCTGGAAATATTAACTTTCTCTTTTATTGTAATGATATTTCAATTAAGTCAAGGTAGTAAAATAACTTTCTTATATCGATCAATCATATGTTTGTGTGTCTATTTATTTATTAAGATAAAAAAACACCGAACAATTTAAAGGGTTTAAATTACTTGATTAATGACACACATTTTCGTTTAGTGTTCAATTCATTTGTGAAATAACGAACAAACAAAGTAAAGACAAAACAATAACAACAACGACATCAAATACTCACAAACATGTACAGATGTTTGCGTACTTTTGGCATCCGTAATTTGGTGATTGACAATAAAACATTAATCATGTTTACATGTTAACGAAAATGTAATCTTTTTAGTATGAGTTAAATTAATTTAATTTTATGCTAACAATTCACTCTATTACAACTTCAATATTAAAAAATTAATTAGGCTGATATATATCTTTGCTACAGAATAAAGTAATTGTTTTTTTAATATTACTTATTTCAATGGTATAGAGCATAATGAAGAATATATTATTTATCTTTCTTATTAGCCACAATATGAAGAATACTTTTTATCATTAATATTATATTTTCTACTTTCAGTTCCTACTATAATATTTGTGATAATCTACAAAAATACGAGTTACTCGGGTGTCCAAAGACGATAAAACAGTACGGTGTACAGTGTAGTTGTCCGTTTAAAGCAGGGGAATTCAACGTCCGAAATCTTCCCCTCAATATTCCTAAAGTTCGAGGGTTCGCACGTGCTTTTATTCGTGTAAGAGTAAGCTATATACATATTTCTTTCTTCTCTGTTGTTGTGCTTTCGCACGTGCTTTAATTCGTGTAAGAGTAAGGTATTTAAAATTTTAAATATATCTTTCGTTTATGTTGTGTTGCTTTCGCACGTGCTTTCCTTCATGTAATTGTAAGCTATTTACATACTTCTTTCTTCTCTGTTGGTGCTTTCACACGTGCTTTTGTTCGTGTAAGAGCAAGGTTCTTAAATATTTCTTTATTTTATGTTGCATTGCATTCGCACGTGCTTTTATTCGTGTAAGAGTAAGGTATTCAAATATTTCTTTCTTATATGTTGTAGTGCTTTCGCACGTGCTTTTATACGTGTAAAAAAAAACTAATTACACATTTTTGTTCTATGTTGTGGTGCTTTCAACAATCTTGAGGTTTGCTATGTGTTGTTTTAATGAGTATGCATTCATTAGAGAAGCATTTAAAGCTATAAAAAACTGAATCCTGTTGTGTTCCAAATTTAAGATTTGCGATAGTTTCCAGCGGTTTTTTTTATAATATTTTTTTTCCATTATTTTTTCTTGTTTTATAGTTTAACTTGCTCATTAGTTTGAAATAATTTCTTCTTACTCTCTCCGGATAAATATTACTGTCGTTTATGTGTTCTCTAGTTTATCAGTCAAATTATTTAGGATATTTTATTCTTACAATTTGAAAACAAATCTTAATACTCATTTTAATCTGTTAAATGTTAATTATAAATTACCATGAATTTGTATCATTTAACCTCCGCCGTTAATAAAGCGTTTGGGGCTATCTTTAGAATAACAACATAATTCAATAAGTTGAAAATTACGATCGACAAATGTGTCTAAAATGATTTAAAAGGTTATGGCGCTGGTATCCTTGATGTAAATCTTCTTCCCACGCGTGCCTCAAACCGAGCAAATGATTACCTATCAACATTTTATTTAGATTGTGATTATTTAAGTAATCACCCTACAAAACACCAATTGACACTTGGAAAAAGATGTCACTATAATCGTCAAGATATCTCCACGTACCGCACTTACCTTCACAAGTCACAATTTTGACATTGTCGTATTTAATTTTGCCAAACATTTATTGTAAACTAATTGGACCACCGGCGTTGACACCGGTATAACACAGTAATACACCTTTGCCACGGTTTGATGCATCGCACTTTTGTTAACGTTTTTTGTGAAGATGTTTTTCTCTGTATGAACACCATTGTGCCTTTATCCTCTATTATTTTGTTCAAAAAATTCCCTTTGATGTTGCAATTTAAAAGTAAAAGTACTTAAAATATGCAAACAATGTTGTGTAAAATGTCAATCACCGAAAACTAGCTCTGGTTTCTTATAATCATAGCGTCGTTTAAAGCAAATTCTCATGGCTTTTTGTAAAATTGTTAGATTCTTTTTTGGGCTATGTGTGTGTTTGTATGACAGTGTCAGGCGAAACAACAGTATTTGTCAAAATATTTTCCCTTTTTCTGATGTTTTTTTTTTATAAACGCGCATTTTTACTTATTATCAAAATAAGAAATACCTTTATTTTAGACCACCCCTTAAAATTCTCCACTTGCATACCTTCGCAAATTGTATTATTATTTTTTTCTGTCAAGGCTATTCTGTAAACAAACGGCCAAGATAAAATATGTTTGTTTATATTTGTTACCTTGTCATTTAGCAAAAGCTGATGTAAAACGTTACGCTAAAAAATATACAATACATTACAATGCACTCAGGATTCTGGGAATAAAATAAATTCAAAGACATTTCAATAGACCAAAAACAGAATATGTTACAAAACTCACATCTGCTTGAGAAAAATTAAATAAGATACATTTTTTACTGACCAAGAAAAATATTTTTCTGACTGAGAACATAAAAGAACAAATGAGCCGTGTCATGACAAAACCAACATAGTGGGTTTGCGACCAGCATGGATCCAGACCCGCAGTCTGATCAGGATCCATGCTGGTCGCTATCAGTTTCTCTACTTGTAACAGGGTTTGTAAGCGAACAGCATGGACCCTGATCAGATTCCGCGGATGCGCATGCTGGTCTGGATCCATGCTAGTCGCAAACGCACTATGTTGGTTTTGTCATGGCGCGGCTCAAATGTTTTTAGCTGAACATGTACAAGAATTATTGCATAGTATTTTTGCTGACATCCAATTAAATGATGGACAATGCTTTTTAAAAAGATGACCTAGTATGAAGATGTAGTATTTTAATTTTATCAATAACAGAAAGGGTTTTAAAGCGTTTTGCTGACAAAGACCAAGACAATGAACAAAGCATTTAGCCGGCCAAGAACTTGAAAATACACAAATAAGAATTCAGTCTTAGATTGTTAAGGCTCATTTCTTTTACATCAATTTTTTATGACAATACATTTCTTTTGATTCATTTTCTTTGTTAATTGACAATTGACTTTGTTGCTTTTTTCAGGGTGATTACGGGTTAACGTTACGAATACTTGACGATGATTCAACAGAACTAGGTTGTTTACGACTGGGATTTTCTGTGAAGAAACGATACAAAGGGTGGCTGTTCAAAATATGATTGAATAAGAAACTGTTGTGATGGAAACATATTTTACGACTATGCTTGAGTAATCACCTTAAGTATAAATTACGTCATGAATTACGTCAGGAATATTGGTGTTCGTTATAAACATTTATTTTTTCCGCCTAATAAATACCATGCCAACTTTATTTGTATTTTTGTGTGATTAAAATCTAATTTAGATACAAGTGAATTAAAAGAAAAATGAGCAAACTTTAGGTCATTGAAACAAACTGAATATTTTAAAGTGCAATAGTTTAAAAACTACCGTATAAATTAAAATATATCCTTTGTGTCCTTTAACATCGAAATAATAATAAGAAACAGGATGTAAATTAATTACTCTACGTTTATCATTCGACTGCATTCACGTTTATATCATTTATTCATACTTAATCACAAACCATGATTTTGATAACGCATTTGAAATATAAAGAACAAAAAACTTTGAATGCAAAAAAGAAGAGAAAGAAATTAATAACAATTAGGCCACTGGTCGTTAAATATTGGGTATGGAATTATTGTGGCTTTTCTTTGGTGTTGACTAGGTGCATTGGTGCCGTGAGATGGAATTTGGTATTGAACAGACTAGAACAGTAAATTTATTCAGATTTTTTTAGGTTTTAGTGAAGGTGACTAAAACGAATTTACAAACAACTGTACATCTACACGTACCAGTAAAATATTATATTCAGTTGAAATGTCATCAAAATGCTGCTCATTTGATGAAAGAAGGAAAATTGTGGTTTTATTTTATGTACTGATTAATTGTTGTTTTATATGAAGTATAATTAAAGAATTAAAGTAAACTTAAAGCCAGGTGTTTGTCACTTATTTCATTTTCCCCATAAAGTAATGGAGTCACTGTAGTCTAAATAGAAGGAACGGACCTCCAGTACCCTTTGTGTCACTGAAGCAATGTATAAAATGAAAGGCACATTATGCCTCAGAAACAAAAAAAATATTTACTTCTTTAGAAGCGGCAAACGTGAATTTTAGAGAATGTTAGATTGGTTTTATTTTATGTACTGATTAATTGTTGTTTTATATGAAGTATAATTAAAGAACTAAAGTAAACTTAAAACCAGGTGTTTGTCACTTATTTCATTTTCCCCATTAAGTAATACACTGAAATAGAAGGAACGGGGACCTCCAGTACCCTTTGTGTCACTGAATCAATGTATAAAATTAAAGGCACATTATGCCTCAGAAACAAATAAATATTTACTTCTTTAGAAGCGGCAAACGTGAATTTTAGAGAATGTTAGATTCTTGTTACATGTCGAAAGTAACATAAATGTGAAATACTTTGTCATAAAAGTAGCAAAATGTAAACAAAGTAGTATTTTGACTTTCATACAAAATACTAATTCTCTACAAGTGTACTTATTGCCAAAAGGCAACAAATAAAAAGGATGGTTCAGCCAATGAGTAACTATTTGGGTACTATAAAAGTACATCAAAATTAAAAAGCTTTTGAGAAAGAAAGATAAAAGTGTTTCTGAGGCATAATGAGCCTTTAAAGTAACAGGGTAACGGTAATCTATTTGTCAGGTATTGAACTATGTTTAGTGCGGAGCAGCAAAATATATAAGAAGTGTTGAGTTTCTATGGAAGAGGTTCATATGTGTATATGAAACACATGTTGTACTGTAACGATATAAAAAAAATGGTTGAAATACGAAAGGCTTCGTCACTATAGTTAATACTTATGACAGTTCACTGCATGATTTATATTTATTTTGAAGAAACCTAGAGTTATTTCAAAATCGATAAATGCAGCTATATACACTTGTCACATGGTAAAGTGGAGAAAAAGACCGAAATTCTTAGCAATATCAATGTATGTATGTATTTTAGGCTTAATAAAGGTCAAGCCACCCTTTCAGGCTCTGAGAGTACGGACCCCAGACATGTCACAATTCATGTCCTTACATGTTTATATCTACCGAAAAGGAGGCCTATAAATTTTGAATTCAGTAATTCACTTAATGATACTAAATATGTACACACGTCGATTTGTGTAATGTTTACTACATGAATTTTGATGCACGGGAGATCAATAAGAATATTTAGCAATATCAAATGTAGCACTAAGCTTTATATAATTATGTCAAATATATGTGTACTTTATTATAAGTATATGGACCTTGCCATTTCCAAGATATGCCATTTCAAAGATCGTTTAATGACTTAAAAGGTGGATTATCCGTTAAAAATGATATCCGTTCTGGTGTGTCTAAGACCTTTGTTACCAGGGCAAACATTACTACTGATAAAGTTGTGGTCGAACGGGATGCACGACTGTCGACAAATGCAATAGCCAGTTCTATTTGCATACCAGCTGGCAAATGTGTTAACTATTATGAAAAAAAAGGATAACATCTGAAGAAGGTTTGCAGTAGGTTGGAATCACATTTGCTAACTTAGGAGCAATAGAAACACGAGTTTGAATATGCCAGGAAACTCTTAAAATTATACAAAGGTTTAACAAAAGTCGCGTTATTTTTCTAAATTGTTAACGGGTGCGGTAGCCTGGGTGCACATAGACTGATAATAAGCAGTGGACGTATATAATAAAATTGCCCACGTAAATACCAGAGGACATGACGTTCAGAAAAAAGGTGTTACAAAATACGCAACTTTCTTAAATTGTAATGGCCATTTGTTTAAATGTCTTTGTGTCCATCTGATACTATTAGTATTATATAATTCCACAAGAACACTGAATTTAAGAAAGTGAAAGTCTATTAAAATAACAAACGTTAAAATAAAAGTTTGTGAGAGGCCCATCTTTTACACTACTCCTCCTTCCACAAGTGTGACGTTGTTAAATCTTTTCTGGTTTCCGTAAATGGGGCGGTTGGTAACCATCTGCCTTATTGACCTAACTTGCATCTTTATCATCTTTCAATTTCCAAGACTGAAAAATGCGTTCTGAAAAAAAATAGCTCACTTGGCAGTCACATTTATCAGTGCCTCCAAAACGAACACTAATGTGTTTTCCTGCTTAATATGGTTTCGGTAACGGGTGAATAGTGGATAAATACTTTGAAGGTTTATAGACACAGATAAATTTGTTAGAACAGTGTAACCAAAGCCCAATGACAGAAAAACATTTTTCCTTAACACTCGGACCATATTTCAAGTAGAAAACTACAAGAAAAGACGTTGCGTTTCGGTAAAAGACAAATTCATTTTGAACTTTTGAATAGTGATAAAATTCATTGATTCTTCTTTCGGCAATTTCATGTCATTTTGAATATTATAATGCAAAGTCAATCCATATGACAATTTTAAGAACCATGATTAACATAAATTCGTGAGTCAATTTACCAACGATCATTTGCCACTTACAGAACGGTAATATAAAAGAAAGCTAAAAACCAAACATGGCGCTTCGATGCTTGCGCTTAATGAATTTGTTTTGCAACTATAGTACTTCGACACAAGAACGATTTGTATGTTTATTTTAAAAGCATCACCCAAAACATATTTATATGTCAAGTCATACTAATGATACCCTTGTGCTAGCAATAAGATTATATCACATCAGTATACGTAACGTGTTGCTGCGAATAACAAACATCACACATTATTGTTGCCAACAGTCCATCCCAATCTGAAAATACGTAACAATATTTGAGCAACCCCAGCTGAAGAATACGTATATAAGTGTTAACTGAAAGCGAGGAAACAGAAGCTACGTTCGATCATGGCACTTTAATACTTTGACCGTAATCTGAATCAGGCTTTTCAATATTGGCATTTTTCTACCATCCCGATTTTCTACCTACCGCAGGTAGCTTTTGATGATCGTAAATAAAACAATTTGTTAAAGTTTAATTTTGCGGGGTATTTACGGTGGCTTAAGAGAGAAAACAATTATCTCAAGAGCCTTACACAGGTGTTAATACATAAAGCATTCGGAAACGAGCGTATTAACGTTTACAGGGTTTGATTTGAAGACGAAAATGGCCCTCTCCACGGTACATGTTAAGTAGCACAAATCTATAGAAAAACCTGGAATGAACATATACAGAGCAATGATACATAAATAAACGCGTTTGATAGATTTTATTTCGTGATCTTACGAATTTTGTCTTTTTATTTCTAAAAATTTAGGCAGTAATAAAAAAACAACCCAAAAACCCTTTAAACCCCCCTTTTATAAACCTTTAAATTTTAAAAAGGGAAGAGGAATTAAGGGGTTTGGGGTTTTCATCCCTTTTTTTTGTGTAAAAATCCCCTTTAAAACCCTTTTTCCCGAAAAATTTTCGATAATTATTTTTGGTTTTCCTACGGGTCGAGCCATTTTCAAGAAAATTCACGTTTTCGAAAAAAAATATATTGCACCCGATTAAATTATTTTATATACAAAAAAGTTTTGCTTTTTCCCTTTTTCAATTTTGGTTTTTTTATTTATAGCAATTTTTCTTCCCACAAAATTTTTTGATAAGATACTTTAAAATTTACAGACACACGTTTTAAAAATTAAAAAAAAAATTATCGAATAAAGTTCTAGAAATATCAAGAGAAGTTTAATCGATAGGAAAATAAAGCTTTAGTGTCTTAAATTGTATAATTCATAATTTATTCTGTTGATTTTTTGTTGATTTTAATTTAAATTAAAAGGGTGTAAATGTATAACTGGCAAAATATACTATAATAAAAAATAAACAAATCAAAATAAAACAAACATCAAACAAAACAAAAACAACTGTTAAAACAGGGCTGTTTCCCTTTTTTTTACACAGTTTTGATTTTTTTAGAAAAATTTTGTTTTTTTAAAGGCCCAGTTTTTTTTGAAATCCCCCTATAAATTTTTATTTTTTAAAAAATTTTTTTTATTTTTTTGGTATTTTATTGAAACCCTACATTTTCGGGGGAAAAAAAAACTTATTAACCATTTTCCCATAACTCGTCCGTTCTTTTGTTTTTGTTGGTAATTGGTTTAATTGTATTTAAAATCAGTTTTCTTTTGGGAAAGTCAAAAAACCTATTGGTTTCTTTTTGCCCCCTTTTACGACAATTACTGATGTTACGGCCCGCTACATTTTTCATTAAATTGTTAAACATCATCTGTTTCTTGCCATTTTTAAAACCATTTTTAAATTCACATGTTTGACATGTTTGACATTTCTAAAGAATTAAAAAATATGAATTTCTGACGCATAATGAACGTTAATTATTAAAGGAAACAGAAAAAGGTTTTCTAACGAAACAATTATTATTTTTAGTAAGTTTAGCAACGAGTTTGCGCTGGTGCAACCCGCTTTCTGGAAAATTTAGAAACAATACTCTTTTAATGTAGGTACACATAGTTTGGCACACAAACATTTATACATACTGAAAACTTAAGGTCCGATATAGGTATTAGCTAAAGCTCTTCAGCGTACCCGTTTCTATACTGTGACATGCCGCATCAGATTAAAAAATGTTAAAAAGCGGCTTATAAAGTTTTGGAAGCCAGAACTATGTAGCTATATACCCTTTAATATTTTATTTCAGTCATAAATAAGCACAATCAATTTTGCTTTTATCCCGATGATGCCATTAATTTATGTCATAGAAAACAATTTTTACGGTTAAACCATACGTATTACTTTACGGTAAATGAAGTTAGTATAATAATTTTACAATTCAAATCTTCAGTAGAACTGGACATACATGTATAATAATTTGAATATCATTTAACAGAATAATTGCCGAACTGTTTAAATTTAAAATAAAACAATAGTAGAGGTAGGGTTTTTGAAACGGCAAATCACACCTTGGTGTGGAGGCTCTGATATTTTTAAGTACAAAATACTTTTATACCAGTTAAATGAATTACTTTGTCAGGAGTACCGTTCTTGTCAGCCACCTTTTCCTCTAGCAGCAAGTCGAAATGCGCGCTAGCCAAATCAATTCAAGATTAAAAGTCTAAATTCATCAGTCACAAGTCAGAATTGCAGTCCAGTCCAGGGCTTTCATACCTTGGAGTTGGCAAAGACATGCATGTGAACAATATGACAGTTCTACGGTCATAAAACAACAAAAGCCGATGTTGATATTCCACTTTACAATCATAAAACTCATTGTATTAAACGTGAAAGGAAATCGTGGGCGAAAAATCAGAACTAGAAAGTACTCAACCATGGATTGCAGGATTGATCTTCAGCTTTTCCAAGAGATGAATTGCTCAGCAATTTTGTTATGGTTTTAAAATGGTGTCCCAAACTTGTATATCAGAGACCCAAATGGAACTTTTGGAATAAAGAAACCATATCTTGGGGTGCATTAATTAGGCTTCGCAATCATACAGCTTGATGTGTTAGTAACATTTATTGATACTAACGGTACAGCTTAGAATTCACTTAAAATTATCAGAAGCTATCAGCGTCTTATTTATATATACCCGTTTTAAAAACAAAACCAAAACAAAATGATATCCCAGTAAACAATACAATAAAGGATGGTGACACGGGATCAGTATTTATAGACAAGAGTGATCACATGTGTCGCCTGATGATTGCCGATTAAGCAGTTGCACTGAAAGTGATTGACTAGTGTGATCCCAATATGTCGCAGCTACTCTGTTGCATATTGCAGTTAGACACAAAAACAATTAACAGGCCAAATCGCTTTTATTATTCAAGGGCCATAACTCGGCCAAAAATCCGGACAAAACTTTGAAAAAAAATCAATGAACTGGAAAATGCTGACGATATGCACGACTAAACTTGGTACTGATCATTCCTGTAACGTTTCGATGAAATTGCACCAGTAATTTTTAGGAGAAGTCCAAGGACGAACAGACAGACAGACCGACGTTCTGATGAGACAAAGACTATGGGCTACTCCATTGTTTCCACCATTTTTCTATTTAGCCACATAAAGGAAAATAGGCATATAAAAGCCTTTCAGAATGAATGACATCAAAGAGAAAGTACAGTTACCTATTGTTCCTGTTGCCACATAAGTATCCAAATGTTAACTCGAACAAATGGACAGACGGACAGACAGACGCCAGAGAAATGATCCCTATATGTGTTCATGTGTGATGTTTCTCTCGTGAAGTTCCTTCAAATAGAATAATCTCTCATGCTTCCATGACGTCGACAAATAGGCCTTCAGCAGTGTATACCCATAGAAGTTTTCACATTCATTAGGTTATGCACAGATCGCTGGCACCAGAGCGACATATTTATTTTCCCTACAATCATTAAAACCATAAAAGTCATTATACTTTGTTGTCTTTTCATCCAAACCATAAAATAACGTTTTTGTTCTTGACTATCTCTATGTAATTAAATTTATAGAAAGGAACAAAAGAGCGAAAACGTAGGTTTTGGTGATTATATTATTTTGTATCACACCAAAATTATCAAGTGACAGCAACTTGAAGCTCTGCTGTCAGTGGCACAGGTAATATATAGGTCGGTACTCGTCATATAGGGATCACTTCTCTAAAAAAACGTCACTTACCAAAAAGATTTTAAATTTAGAAAGCAGAAAAATATCTATATTTCTATATTTTAAATGTAATGAAATGTCCGAAAGTCAAACAAATTTTATCAATGATAATTAGAGGCCTTAAAGGTCCATTAAGCCTTAAAAAAAGCGCAGTCATTTTTATTCTTCAAAACTTTATATGTTTGTGTTTTATTGAAGTTTCCAAAAAGGCTACTCATTGACTATATACATGAGCGATCTTTTGCTAGTTTTAATGTTTTGCAAATTGTATTTTATAGTGATTAAATATTTTGTATGGAAGTCAAAATACGCCTATGTTTAGATTTACTTTCTTTATCAAAGATAAATTCCAATTCAAAAAGGATCTTCGTATGTTCTAAATCCGTTGTTATACAACATTGTATAACACATATTTGCCCTTTCTACTGATCATTTCTGAGACTTAAAGGAACTCCACTGAGGTTCAAACCCCTAAAAACACAAAACTTGAATTCCTTACATAAATCAGCTAGGGCACTTAAAACAGAAAGATATGCAAAAGATATGACTGCAAAGCGTTACAACGCTTTTCAAATTGGGGTCATTTCTTATAACAGAAAATTGAGCCGTGTCACGACAAAACCAACATAGTGGGTTTGCGACCAGCATGGATCCAGACCAGCCTGCGCATCCGCGCAGTCTGTTCAGGATCCATGCTATTCGCTTACAAACTCTATAACAAGTAGAGAAACTGATAGCGAACAGCATGGATCCTGATGAGACTGCGGGGATGCGCAGGCTGGTCTGGATCCATGCTGGTCGCAAACTCATTATGTTGGTTTTGTCATGACGCGGCTCAAATAGTCATTCTGGAAAAATGGAGTGAGCGAATGATCTGAGATTTTGCGCACAATAGGTCGAGACCCACATCAAATGGAATATTAATCTCAAAGATATATTTCCTGTCATATTCATGAACCTGAGTGGAGTCCCTTTAATGTGCCTTTAAAAATTTCTTTCCCGTTTATTCAAATGGGCTATCTGTACTCATTGTTAATCATTACTTTAAATATCTTCTAACTAATTGTGTAAATATAGGATGACAGTATCGAATCACAATGATGTTATCTCTGTACCTTTGTACAAAAGTGAAATACAAAAAATCGCCATTAGTCTTTACTCTTTAATCATTTTTGTTTTGCATTCAAAACCAGTGAACGTGTGATTTACAAAGGACTGAAAAGATCTAATGACACAAAGTGTGCAATTTTCCAGCTATGTAACAAGCTATGAAGAGACAATCTATACCTCATCATCTTTTTATCCCCTATGTATATTACCTCCCTTGAATCGTAATTAATGCGAGTGTAGGTTTATGCCGGAGGGAGATTTAATTGAAAATTGTGTAAATGTTACAAATTTCAATGTTTTCATTTTCTAGGCGGTTGTATAAAATCTAGCAGGTCGATAGGCTGTCCGTGCATTATTATACTATAAAGCAAGAAAAATTAAATCTAGATCTATTTCTATTCTTGAAGAGCTAGATCTAATAGAAGGAAAATTGATAAAAATAATTATGTTGAACTACATTGAGAGTAGTAGTAATCTTCTGACGTCATTTGGTTTATTGACGTCATATAATTATGACGTCGCATGACGTGCATTTATGCATACGTTTTATGCAGTGCATAAATCGTATAAAAATTATAATTCATTTCACTGCCCTAGTGCCCTATCTGTTTTATAAGGGAATGGTGTGAAGCGTGTTAGAATATCTTTTATCACATCATTCGCGTAGCCGTTGAACGTCTACGTCACAGGCACGAGTATCGGACCTGGGAAGAAAATATGACCACATTTTATCCCGATACTCGTGCCTGTGGTCTACGTCATTTCTTTTCGTGTACCCTTTTCCCGCGTTTATTTGAAAACACTGGGGTTTCTTGTCATCAAAAAACAATTGGCCTATTTTTTATTATGGATTATCTTCACAAAGAAACGAATCAGACCTAAATAGAATAACGAAATAACAAATTAGAACAACCAGAATTATTTTTAAGAAACCCGTAGTTTTAAACCAATTCTATCAAAATGTTTCCAAATTTGAAATGGTTAAAATTTCCATCTAGATGTAATTATTTTTCTGGACTTATTGTATATAAAGCGATGCATCCAATTGCTCTGATCTAATTTCATTATCTCCAAAAAGGGTTGCAAAAAGATATGTATACAGTACTGTAAACTATGCATCTAGTCAGGATAGTCCAAAATTCAGGTACGAAACGTTTGTCGTGCGAAAGTCTAGTTAAAAGGTCAAGGTTACCGGATGTTTATATCGGAAAATAAACTTGTGCTGACTCGATGGCAATATTCTATATATTACAGTAGGTTTAATGAAGTTTTGAATTTATCTACCTATTTGTTAATCAGATGAATATATAAAAACTTTAATTATCTGTTTTGGTCATTTTTTCTAACATTTTCGATGTGGATAAATTAGGATAGACCCAGATAGCACCGAATTACGGACATTTCGGACCACGGACGTTTCGGACCAGACACTTCGGACCAGATTTTTTGGTCATTTCGGACCAGATTTTGGGACATTTCGGACCATGTGATGGTCATTTCGGACCATGATGGAGACACTTCGGGCCAGCACATATATTCCTTTCTATATGTAATTATTTGTTATTTCTGGATGTATTTAATATATTTTCTAATAATAAATGCAATAAATATTTGACATTGTTATATTTTATGATATTCAAAATGCATGCAGTAATGACCTGTCCGACGAGATTTTCACTTTTTCTGACAAGCTTATATTTCCAATTGACAATTTTAAAATTGAATTTATTTTAACACTAATAAAATACCTTTAGAACTATATTGGTAAGCGTAGGATATATTTATGCGAATGTCCTTCATACAAAATAGAGAGATAATGATAAGCTATGTTTAATTTATCTAAAAGAATTGAAATTGATGTACGTACCTGTTTAATCAACTATTTGATATTATGTACAATAAGTACACGAATACGAATACGAATACGAAAAGTTTATTTGTATAAAGCATAGTACAATGCTTATAACAAGTATAAATTGTAATATATACAATGTTTGGAGATCAAAACATAGAATTATTGATGCATAACATATAAAAAAAATATTTATTCTGGTCCGAAACGTCCAAAATAATGGTCCAAAGTGTCTAACACATGATCCCAAATGTCCAGCACATGGTCCGAAATGTCCAAAACAATGGTCCGAAGTGTCTAATACATGATCCGAAATGTTCAACACATGGTCCGAAATGTCCAAAAATCTGGTCCGAAATGTCCCTAAATATGGTCCGAAGTGTCCCAAAATCTGGTCCGAAATGTCTGGTCCGAAACGTCCATGGTCCGAAATGTCCTATTACCATAGCACCAACTTGGTGAAAATGTTAATTCGTACCCGTATCAAAACGTACCATCTTTTTCTAAATACTATGTCAAAACGCCCATACACTTACAAACTTGCTTGTATGATTTCAGTCGGCCATATTCCCTAGCCATGAAAGATTACTCCCTGTTTCCCTGTCTAAAATTCCACCAAATTATTCCCCTTTCAAATGAACTCAAAGAAGGGACCTTTTAAAAAGACTTTGTATTTATTAATTCGATTTTTTGTTCAGAAACGGACAATTTTTTCTTTACCTTTGTTTAATTTGCTTTCTATCTATATATGGTTCCTATGGTAAACATATGAGTTTTGATGGTAAACAAATGAATTTTCTGAACCGAAAGTAATCTAACACACAGCGTTGCTGTCAATACATTAAATCGGTAAGAATATTGAGATATTTGTTTGACTATCAGTTTCAAATGCAAAATATCAATATGGAAAACAACTATGTGTAGTTTATGTGTATTATTTTAATGTGTTTGTCCGATATTTTAGTTACACTTAGTGTCGCTTCATAGCAACCGAGTTTAGAACGTGAGAGGTAATTAACTGAACGAGATATGGCAAATACTGCATATCGAAATACTGCATATACGTATAGCAAAAGTTCGTAAGTGCCATACTTATAGTCCTAAAAATAATACTGTGCTTAAGAAAGTGATATCTTTACTTCTGTAATAGGCTTGGTCGGTAGAGCTGTGGTACGTACTGTATTCTGACTCAGAAGGTCCCAGGTTTGAGTCCCGGTCAGGCTGCACATTTTTCTCACCCTGTGACATTTGTTGCCCAGCAGGGGACCTTTACTGAATATATCTCAGAGTTAAATTTACATTGCTCTATAACTGTGTAATTCTGGAATGAATTTCAATATACCTTGGTTCAGAACTGTTCACTCTTTAGGGGATAAGATGTGTAAGTGGCTGGATAGTTTAGTCGGTAGAGATGCGGTAAGGTATTCCAAGGGTCCCGGATTCGATCTCGGTCAGACTGCACATTTTGTTCACCCTGTGACACATGCAAGAGCAGAGGTACAGTGCGAATGACTGTAGAAAGTATTTCACGATCAATCATTATACAGTAAATCACAAAGAAAGTAACCTACGCTGCCTGGGAATCAAACCTGGGTCGCCTGATACACAGTCCAACACTCTACTATTGAGCTAACCGGAAGGATGTAGCTTATGGTCTTCAGCATACCCTGTGTCATACTGTATCAAAGAACAAAATATGTTTAAAAAAAAGTTTATAAAGTTTTGGAAGACAGAACTAGGTAAAAATGTATCTGACAGGAAAAAAATATGTACAAAAAAAAACAAACAAAAAAACACCTTGCACATTTTAGCTGGATTTTGATGGTCATGAATAAACCTGTGAGGATTCAGGAAAATTATGTTTGTTTATCATTAAAATTATTTCTACAAGAAGGTCTTTATTTCATTTTATTTCAGTAACTAAGTAAGAAGAATTGTTTGAAGACATTATAAGCCATCATGGACCATTCTCTACTAGATTCTAATTTGGATGATAAGGAGGCAATGTTTAATCAGCTTCTCATGAATGCTGCTGTAAGTCTTAATGTTTCAATTTTAAAATTCTCTGTAATTGTAGAATATATAATCATTTTACTCATTGTAGTAGGCCTATAGTTTAATTTAATAATATTGTATTGCAACTATTTAATACATAATCATGTATTACATAGGTACATGTACATGTAATATTTAAAAAAAAAAATAAAAGGAAACCAACTATTCACAAAGAGATCTAGTGCAAATGGGTTGGGCTTCTAGTTATAACTTATAGAAACATCCTTCCCCACAAGGTCAGTGTTTTATATATCATATTTATTCGGCTTTTTCTTAATCTTATGACAGTTACGTGTTTAATTACTTTAAAATAATTGTTTTAAGCTATGAATGATATAAGGAAAAAGATATAGAAAATCTGTTTAAGAGAAATAAATAATAGATCATAATACTTAATAGTCTAGTATATATTATAAGAATCTTACACTGGCTGCCGGTACAGACCGGAATATCTAGCTCGAGGGTAACTGTTTACGGCGGTAACGAGGCTCTGCCGAGTTTCCACTAAACAGTTTCCCGAGAGCTAGATATTCCTGTCTGTACTGACAGCCAGTGTTTGATTCTTTTTCTTGCATATTACATATCAATTGCTTTTAGAACAGACATTACGAAAACTGATATTCTCATTACGTACTTTTTTCTTATAGTAGCGTATGAACTTACAACTTCATTCATAACTGTAAAATGACGTCACCCTAAGAACGTAATTCATTCATAAAAGGCGCGCGGCAATGACGTTGTTTAAAGCACGCGACTTGTCGTAAGATAGAGTTTTCTAGAACCGTTGTAGATAATCCTGTCTGATATGCAAGAAAAACATTGTATTTTCAATTATTTTATTGTTATATTCTTGCCTGATAATGATTTCTCAGTTGAGTGGTCCTGCACCTCCAGACTCCTTGTTATAAACCTTTTAACGTTTTTGAACAGCTTGATCTTAATACTATTTTTTTGATAATCAGTGATCACATTTGTTATAAAATTTCAGGCAGAAGATCCAAATTTGATATCAGAATTGAGCAAACAAATACCTACTACACAAGTTAGACCAGTACCTGGTACTTATTTTCTTCTTTGATCAGATCTGATATAGCAACTGTATGTGTGTTGTTTTTTTGTACAAAATTTATAATGTATAATCACTATTCAAATGACAGAAAACTTGTCAAAGTTATTATAAACCATAATTAAGTTGTCAGTATAACACTACAACCTGAATTTTACTTGATCCTGAAAATGAAAATATCAGGGGAAAATTTATTAGCCTTTTATATGGGTATTTAACATGTTATTTTTCAAATTTTACTTGCCATTTTTCAGTACTCTAGTAACAATACCCAAGAATTATGTCTATCTCAATTTAATGTATCTGTTGTACTTGTTAAAACTGGAAAGAAATCAAATGATTTCAGGATCATAATTTGTATATTTTCAGGATTTTGCTTGAAAACTAAAACCAACAAGAATGAAAAGGTTTTTGTGAATGTCTGCAAAGCTGATAATGTAAGTTGTATATTATAATGTTACTGTGTTACTGTGTGTTTTCATATTCGCTTTATTAACTGGCCAAGAGTAGTTGTTTTGGATTGTGCTGGCACTAGGCCAAGGACCAATACAACTGGTTGTGTTTTAATAACACAGCCAATGTTGAGTCAATAATTATATAAATGACTAGTTTAGTAATCAGGCAAAGTTATAGCTTCACTGTGCACTACCCATCACAATAGATTAGTCAACCTGTTTCGCTTATTTTCAAAGTTGTAACTGTTAAAGTTTGTTTGTACCTACGTTATAAGCTGGGAAAAACCCAAATATTCTTATTTCTGGAGTTAATAGTTTGACTTGCTTCCTATTTCTTCCTTTGTTTTAAAAGATGCTGGAATCAAGCACACTTACTTGTGTTGAATTTTCTAAATTTAAACAATATCAACAAAATTATTTTACTGTGTAAGATAGAAGTATTGTTGGATATCTTTCAGGTGCCTGCACCAAAAGACATCTCTGACGAGGAACTAATTAAGTTATTGGAATCTGATGATCCTACGGGGTACAGAGTTCCCATGTCTATAGGAGAACCTCATGCAGAAATAGATAAATGTAAGAAGTGATTTATTTTATTATATTGAGGGTTGACTACTTATATAAAATAAAGGACTACAACAGTTTTGTGATCAGCCTTAGATATGTGTTAATAATATTCATAATGTTCAGTGACTTACATTTGTTAATTCTACAGTGCAATTATCAAAAATGTATATTGTAATTTTATTTTAAACTGACAGCAAGCATAAATTATGAACACTAACTGTTATAATTTTGTTCATGAACAACAGCTGGTATATCTTCACTATTTCTATTTTCAGCAAATCAGGGTTGTACTGCTTATGATGTGGTTGTCTCCCCTGTTTTCATGGATAAGATGGCTGCCAGTGAATTATTCAAAACATTTTTCTTGACAGTAATGATGGAAGGATTAGAGGATAAATATGATACACAACTAAGTAGAGGTATATGGTGTTAACACTCTACAGTCAAATCCCAGTTATTCAACAACTCTTTATTCAAATACCCAGCATTATCCAATAGATCGGCAGTCCCGTTTTTATCTCTATATATATCAATCAAGATAAAAATGTATTATCCGAAATGCATTATATGTATATGTATGCATATCGATTACATATAAGTATTGGCAAAATTGTTAAACACCAAATGGCTGTATAAGAACATCCCAGTATGGTACCTATGTGCATACTAAACTCCTGTACTTTCCAAATTTGTTTTGGGATCCCTTGCCAAGTCTACAAGTAGAATGATACCTGTAACGTAGGAGAAGGTTCCAAATAAACTACTCAATTTTTACTTGATAAGATATACCATATATATTGTAGAGTTTGCTTGCTAAGGTCATAAGGGAAAGCATCAGCTATGAAATCCAGAGGTTACTTGTTTGATGCAATTTCTCTGTAACTGTTGATCTCTATCTCTATTGATGATTTTTCTCAAACGTCTGATTCAGAAATTTTGTGGAATTGGTAGTCAGTGAAATTAGAAAGTTATTGGTTAGATATTTAGGAAAGCTGGTTAGGTGGACCAAGCACCAAGATACATAAGATATGTGCTGAAATTAATGTATATTAAAATAATACGTTTTGGAAAATAATACCTACTGATTAATTATATTGTTATTCAAAATACAGTTAAAATCCTATAAACAAGGAGTATAAATATTGTTTTGGGGCACAGAAAGGCCAAGATCAAAGTAACATCAATTGATCATGCCGAAACTAAAGTCTATGGGTAGTAATCAGTCTTTGCCTTTTTCAGCACTAGCCTGGTAAATTTTGTATAGAAATACCACTTTGTTATACTATGAGAACCCCCAAATTTTTGTTACCTGTTGTGCTAGGGAAGAAAAATATTCATTAGACATGATGTGTTATCATTTCACTGCCCATTATGGGCTTCATTGATAAGTATGTACATGTATTGCATCGAAAAGGCCTTAATTAATTGAAGATTTGTGTTTGTAATCATTATGTCTCCCAAAATTTTTGGGAGACAAATTGTTTTTGCCTTCGCCGTCTGTCTGTCCGTCCGCATTAAGCTTGTCCGCCCTTCACAGGTCAAACTTCTGGTGCGATTTCAACCAAACTTTACAGAAGTGATCAGTACCATCCCTAGTTGTGCACATCACCGGCACGTTCCGCTTCGCTGCACAAAATGACCGTCAGAGCTATAAATAGAAAAATCTTGTCCGGCTTTCACAGGTCAAGCTACTGGTGGGATTTCACTGAAACTTCACATGAGTGACCATACATAGTTTTGGGAGACATATGTTTTTGTGACAAAAACCCTTCTAGTTATACCCCCGAAACGAATTTTGTGGGGGTATATAGGAGTCACCCGGTGGTCGGTCGGTCGGTCAGTCCAGACGTCCGTTGCATTTTCCTTGTCAGGAGCATAACTTGAAGACTAATGGTTGGAATTCAATAAACTTCATACAATGGTCAAGCACATTGAGAGGAAGTGCAGTGCACAAGAACCATAACTCCATCATGACTCATTATAGAGTTATTGCCCTTTCTTACTTTTCCTTGTCCGAAGCATAACTTGAAAACTACTGGTTTGAATTCAAAACAACTTCATACAATGGTCAAGCACAATAAGAGGAAGTGCAGAACACAAGAACCATAACTCTGTCTAAAGTGATTACAGAGTTATTGCCCTTTGTAATTTTCCTTTGCTTATTTTTATCCGGAGCAGAACTGTAAGACTAATGGTGAGAATTCATTACAACTTAATACAATGATCAAGCACATTGTGAGGAAGTGCAGTGCATAAGAAACATAACTCCATCTTGACTAATTACAGAGTTATTGCCCTTTGTTACTTTTTCTTGTCCGGAGCATAATTTGAAAACTACTGGTTGGAATTCAATACAACTTCATACATTATCAAGCACATTAAGAGGAAGTGCAGTGCACAAAAACCATAACTCTGTCTAGAATAATTATTGAGTTACTGTCCTTTGTTACTTTTCCATTGCTTTTTTCTTGTCCAGAGCATAACTTGAAAAGTACTATTTGGAATTCAATACAATTTCATACAATAGTCAAGTATATTGAGAGGAAGCGTAGTGCACAGAAACCATAACTTTTTCTTGACTCATTTAAGAGTTTTTGCCCTTTGTTACTTTTTAATGTCCAGTGCATAACTTGAAAATTAATGTTTGGAATTCAATGAAACTTCATACAATGGTCAAGGGCAGTGAGATGAAGTGCAGTGCAGAAGAAGCATAACTCTATTTTGACTCATTACAGTTATTGCCCTTTGTTACTTTTTTGTCCAGTGCATAACTTGAAAACTAGTAGTTGGAATTCAATACAACTTCATACAATGGTCAAGCGAAATGAGAGGAAGTGCAGTGTACAATAACCATAACTCCATCTTCAGTATTTGTAGAGTTATTGCCCTTTGTTCCTTTTCCTTGTCCGGTGCATAACTTAAAACTAATGTTTAGAATTCAATGCAACTTCATACAATGGTCAAGCACAATGAGAGGAAGTGCAGTGCTCAAGAAGCGTAACTCTTTCTGGATTTATTACAGAGTAATTTAAAAAAACTTCATCAATGGTAAACCATATTGTAAGAAAATGCAACATACGAAGACCACAACTATCTTTAATTGCCCACAACAATAACTCTATTTCAATTCTTTTACAAGGTATTCTGTTACTTGTAACTTCCTCATTTTCGAAGCAGTCTTGCGGGGGTATTAATCACATTTACAATGTAGTGATAGTTCTAGTTTTATATAATTTTAGAATGATCTGTCATATTTCAGAATGGGTAATATTAAAAAACAGACGTTTTGTTGGGACATTACAGGAACAGAATGTGAGAACACAATCCAAGCCAGTCATTGAGGAAGTGAACAAGTATGTTTTACTTTTTAAATAATACAATACAAAATCAGCTGTTTATTTGTTAAACTTAAATTAAGTATAATAATGTGAATAGGCCAGTCGGTAATATAAGAATCTTACACCGGCTTCCGGTGCAGACGGGAATATCTAGCTCTCGGGTAACTGTTTAAAGCGGTAACAAGGCTCTGCCGAGTTTCTGCTAAACAGTTACCCGAGAGCTAGATATTCCCGTCTGCACCGACAGCCAGTGTTTGATTCTTTTTCTTGCATATTGCATGTACAGAAATTATGAAAACTGATATTCTCATTACGCACTTTTTTCTTATAGTAGCGTATGAACATACAACTTCATTCATAAGGAAAAATGACGTCATCCTAAGAACGTGATTTATTCATGAAAGGCGCGTGTCAATGCGTCATTTAACGCACGCGACTTGTCTTACATGGGGGGTGTAAGACAGAGTTTTCTAGCACTGGTGAAAACGGTAGATAATCCTGTCTGATATGCAAGAATGCTGCTTGCATGTTAAGGATTAAACTTTATTCTGCTCTTACCAAGTGATTAGCATGGTTTCCAGTATAGAGCCAGGTCAACTTGCACATCCATGCAGTCTGACCAGGCACTATACTGTTGACTGACTTAATCTCATTATCCCTAAAATTATTAAATTAATAGCATGAGAATTTCAAAAATGGAAGCTGGACAAGTCCATTAACAGAACCCTGCAGATTGAGGGTAAAGTTTATATTGAATATACAATCATTTGTATTACATATGTATAATTTACATTACAGGTATAGTTCACAGACTTCAGGATCAGGGAAATCACTTATACAGGAAGTATCTCTCTCACAGGAAGATATTAAATCATCAAGGTAAATTTTATTACATTATTCTATACACAACATTTACATCCCAGTTGCTGCCTGTGATTTGTACCGTTTGACCATCAAATATATTTCCTGTATTAGACTCTGTAGGGTCCGGTATGAGATGTATTAGATGTTTAAATGCATATTATATTGTCCACATATAAATGCTGGTAATGTCAAAAGTATCTGAATAGTGTCTATAAATAGATTCCTGAAAGGATATTTTTGAAAGGGAAAGGTTTATTTTCAGGATAGTGAGAATACAATGTACATGATTAAGTTATTTTCCTTTCTGTTTTATAATCTGTAAAATTGTTAAATCCAATATGGGTTATATTTGGACTCATTGGTCCTATTTTGGTGCCTTATTATGTCTGAAACTATTCAGAGAGGGGCACAAGATGTCTTTCTTCTAGTAAGGCTGGAAAATTTTCATATGATATTGACTTTGTCTGTATGAAAATATCTGAGAAGATTGTTGTCTAAAACACTTCAAGCTATTGCCCTATCAAACAGATCTGGCAATCAAGTGCATTATATATACAATATGCACAGCATAAAAATAGAATGCATACATGTTGTGTCAGATATTACATCAAGAAACAAAATGATGTCAGGAAAATTACTTCTTCGCTCAATGTTGTATCAACAGACAACATATTTTTATCAATTCTCTTTTTTATTAGCATTTTTCTTGCATTATAGTATAGTAATGCAGGGTTTATAATGTTCAAATGCTTTCTCGGGCCTATTGGCCTTCATATGATTATATTCCTGCGCATTTGAACTCTAACCATGCATTGTTCTACAACAATTCACTCAAAATTGATATCCGTTCCATAATTATAGGCTTACTGTTTTAGATGATCATTTATTACAATTAAAAAAGCTAATCAAATGTTATACTTATAGAGGCAAGGAACCAGATTACAGAATAGTGCAGGAACCAGCTGAAGGACATCCAGAATTTCTTGTGGCTGAAATAAACCTTTCACAAGTGGTGAGTGAAATTTTATATGTTTTAAGATTAACCTTTCACAAGTGTTCCGTAAACTAATAACATTTCCCAAATGCTGAGTAATGCCTTATTTATTCTAATGAATCTCTTTTGGCGATAACTAAACAGCTGTTTGTAAGTTAGATATGAGGCAGTGTTCAAGTGTTCAAATTTTGTTTACAGTTTTAGAGCAATATAAAAATAAAGTATTCCTGTTTTTTTTTGTGAATGTATGTAAGTTTGCAGTTTATTTTGTTTCCACTCAATTACCATGATTATACAACCAGTTGTCTAGTACTAAAGATAATGCCAACATATTTCAGGGTTTGATATCTCATGGTTTGCTTGTATTATCTGGTACATAGATACGTGTAGTAAATTTAATAAAAAAAAATGTTTTGCACCTTCCATTTTTTCTGGATGAAAAATATTTGTATTTTACACTGAAACAAACCTGTATCTACTATTTCTTATAAGGATTAGGATAGTTTATCAAGATATGATGAAAAGAAAATGTCAGTTTATTTGTAATTTTTACTGATTATCAAAATACATTTTTCGTGAGAGTGTTTACTTAGAATACAACCCTTCCAAGGGTTATATGGAGTTTTTTCATATAGAAATATTATATATGTTATCCTTTTCTATGGTAAAATAGAAAAAATAAAGTTTCATAAAAACACCCAGAATGGTGAAATTGAAAATGTTGCAGGCTTGGTTTGATTGAGCCTATCCATGGATGGTACAGGAAAGTGCAGGTCACTGTCCATGCCGCTCTAGTACTGGCTTTAGCAGAATTCAACATTTAAATATTAATCATGCGTAGTAAGGTGTCATGGAAGATATGTTCTATTACAGAAAGTTAGTAACAGCATCAACCTAGATCTTGGAGAGGATAGAATATTACTACAAACAAGATCAAATATTTACTACTTAGATATCTATCTGCCATATTATATAGTTCAACAGGAGTGTGGAGCACAGTTCAACAGAAAAACTAGGGTAAGAATGTGAACTTTTTATGCTTGTTATTTTTCTGACATCAGGGGAATACAAAATGGGTTATTTTTTTATATTCTGTGATATTTTTGAAAATATTGGTTATCAAATTTTAAAAATAAGCCTTTGGTCATTTTAAAACTGTGGGAAGTAGCACATGGTGTTTACCCCTATTTTATTATTTATGGAAACATTTAATTCTAGAAATAAGACTTCTTTCACTTAAAAGTGACATATGCCTATCAAAGGGTATATAGTGAGTAAACAGGTCTGGGGAATGTCAAAATACGAAAATAAGTTACATTTTCAAATTTATAATTTACTTTGCATTACATGGTTCGATGAAATTTCTGTAAATATCCATCAGACTTTACCTGTTATGTTCAGTTTATAAAGAGTGGAGATGTCTTTATATTTTAAGCAGATTTATATTTTATCCTAAACATTTTCCAATACCAAGTGTTGGTCAATCACCATTATAACAATCTTTTCAGTCAATTCAGCTCAACATGTCAATGAAAATATGAGCATAATATTACTTTAAAGCTAGAATAAGAATTTAGCCTCTTGCATTAGTTTTCTATCATTTTGAAGGACATAATGAATAACACATAAATTTTTGAGTTCTGAAAGTATTTTTATTTTTCTATTACAGATTTTGACCATAACAATGCCAGTGGTTCCAGAAACGTGATGCCATGACATTTTTTTAGTTTTCTAATAAATTGTTTCCATAATATAAATGTATTATCTTTTGTTTAAACCAGATTTTTTCGGAATTAGTTATCAGGCTTTCTTTCTATTGCCACTTGTGCTGAATGAAATGTTTCAAGGATACATGTATTTTGAATTTGATTTTGAAATTATTGCTTGGGCTTTCGTGGTGGCGTGGTTTTAAACTGTTAGCTCTTCACCACTTTGGATTCAAATCCACCCAGGTACCTTTTGTTATATCATGAAACTACAATTAACCTATGCTATCCAGCTAGCTTACAGTCAGTAGTTCTACTCAAGCACCACCTCACGGCACTTTAGGTCTCCCTTCACCTATAAAGTTGGAAAGTAGCTGCATAACCAATTACAGTGTCAGTCAAACAAAAAGCCCAACATAAAATATTTTATTTTATGTAGACAATGGAAGAAAACTAATGAGAATCGAAATCTTTGGAATTTCAAGACTTTATTTAACTTTAACAATATTTATGCATAAATAACAAATACATGAGCATTATTTTCAAATTTTACACCAGTCCAGTATAAATAGCATACAACTGGAAGCAAAAAATAAAAACCAACAAAAATACAACATTGTCCTAGAATAAAATAAGCTTCATTTGCCAGCATGTTAGGAAATACTCCCTAAATATTACTACTGTGTATGTAAATAAGGATTGTTACTTAATGTATATTAAAGTATTCATTTTTTACCTATATTAAACACATTTAAACAGACAATCTTATAAATACAGTGAAATAGAAATATTTCATCCCCAAAAAAATTTGATCATAAAATACATTATATAAATAAATAACCAACAACAACAAAAATAACAGAAACAAAAACTTGTTAGTAACAAATGATTAGCTATACTTTATTCCTGTAATATGTGCTTGCCTTGTCTTGACGTGCTTAACATAATTGCATCATACATAAGGACCACTTTGGTAACTGCTGCCATGCTAAATATCTTGCATGGACTTGTCCATTTTTCAATCTGTACAAAACCAGTCACATTATTTCTCAGAAATGAATAAATTTGTTTTTCTTTAGAAAGGGCAAAAACGAATTTTATATTGTTTAAATAATGTTTTGAAAAAGTAGTGCTTAATGTGAAATAAAAATTAAATTAAGTAGTATTTTCACTTCCATACAAAATAATAAATCAATCTAACAGCCAAAAATCACACAAGAAAAATAATGTTCAGGTAATTGGCCAATGAGTAACTTTTTGGAAACTATAAATGTACACCAAAAATAAAAATCCTTTGAGAAATACAAATAAAAGCATGTCTTGGGTATAATGTGCCTTTAAAGGAAAATTTCAAAATAAGTTCTGACTAAAATGGGAACAGTGCACATCATGGTAAGACAAGCTGAGCTTTATCTGCACACTGGTCACATGGGTAGTTTCAGTTCATGCCAGCTGGTTAAAGATTTAATGATTGCACGCAAAAAAGCGCATTTAAGTGGATTGGTCTACAATGGACATAATAATATTATTTAATATTCAAATATTGATTAAAGCATTGAATAGAAATGAATCATTTGGATATTCTTATGAAAAAAAATATTGATAACGTTCTAAGTGATTCGAAATGAACTATTATATGATGAATATAAATATTTTGTTCTAGAACATTTTATTATCTGCTATATAAAAATATGGTAATATCAGATCATGTATCTCACACTTGCCAATAACTTCTTTTTAATTTCTTTTAGGAGGTTGGTTGTTATGTCTGATACTAAGTACTATCAAAGTAACTATTCATTCTTTTACTTGTACAAATCTTTCATTATTGACCATTATTATGATATTATTACAGACAAACTCTTCTTAATGCAAATCTGTTAATTTTCTAAAACCTTTCTATTCGTAATTTAGAGTTGTCATAATTGATGTGGCAGTGAAGAAGAAGTTTGATATTTATATAAACTACTTAAAATTCATTATAATTTGTGTACATAAATTTTATATCCCAATGAATTCTACAACAGATCCTTGTCCCATTTAACAAGGTTACATTAAATATAATTTAATCTATGGGAATAAACATATAAAAAAAAAGTAGTTTTTAATTTTGATCCTGATTAGAACCTATGGAGAGGAGGGGCAATCAGTTTGAAGCCAGGAACCTCAACCACTTGGCCAAAGATGCCCAACATGAAATTCCCATTTTTTGCAAAACACTGCTAAAATTCACTAAAAAAAATATGTATGGGTTGTGTAAAAGCAGAACAACCTACAGTAGTAAATTGTTATTATTTGCTACATTGATCTTATATAAAATAGTTAAAATTAAAACCTGGCAGTTCATATGTAGCTCCTTTTTCTAAATTATGTATTAGTGTGTACACTTAAGAAAAAATAGGGGCAGTACATTGTAAATTTTAATAAAATTCAAGAAAGATGATAAATATATTTCAATAAATACAGTAAGTTATTAATAACACATTCATATAAAATCATAATTAGTTTAACATGCAATATACTAAACCTATGTTAACATTGATTCAACAAAGCTTGACATACACATGAAAATTAAAAGCTTATGCTTGCAAACATGTTAAGTAAAATTTCTCTGAGAAGGTTTTCAGTACACATGAATGACAGAAACTTTATACCTTGTAGCTGCGACTTTTCACGAGGGTTTATAAACATGAAATGCATGGATCTTACACCAGGGTTGACAGACTATGGATGACTATGGCCATTGACTTGGGTTTTACTGTAAATCAATATGGTAACAAAGATCTTTAACAACTGTTTTAGTAATAGAAAGAGCAATCGAAACTTGAGACTGTCTGACTGCTAAGTTTTATGATGTTCTTTCTCTTTTGAATCATAGACCAAAATAAAAACACTTTGCCAGTTTTAACAATATGAAACCCAAGAAAAAGTAATCAACGAACGAATATGACTTTTCTATTGTTATCCCTTTCCCTGTCATCATAATAAGTGACCCTCAGAAAAAAATTGAGATAATCAATGGGCATGTTCTGGAGTGTTGATAACTAATACTTGCACTCCAGTTAATGCACTGCATGTATGTACATACCATTTAACCTCGACACATTTTCAACCAAAAGGTCTCCAAACTACAATAAAATTTTATATTGTTGACTGAGAACTTAGATCACAGTATCACTGAATATGGATAGCTGTGACATTCTGTGTCTGTGACATTCAGCCAAGGTTCTAGTGTATATGACTGATGGTGTGAATCACAAGTGTATTCAGTGGGTTATGACATTCAATCAGGGTTACAGTGTATTTGGATGGCTGTAACATTCAGCCAGGGTTACACTGTAATATGGATGGCTTTGATATTCACCCAGGGTTCCGCTGTAATATGGATGGCTTTGATATTCAGCCAGGGTTCCGCTGTAATATGGATGGCTTTGATATTCAGCCAGGGTTCCAGCGTGGCATCCAATTAAGTTGCATTGACAATGAATGAATGTATCCTTCAACCAGGGTTCCACTATATATTAATTAATGGCTGTGACATTCAATCAACTTTCCACTGTATATGGATGGATGAAGCCTTCAGAAGGGCTCAACTGTATATGGATGGCTGTGACATTCAACCAGGGTTCCACTGTATGTTGACTAAAAATGTTACTCATCATCAGTAGCAGCAGGTTCTTCCTGGTCTCCATCAACATTCTCCACATTTTCTCTCCCTGCTGCTCTTCTACCTGCAATATATAACACAAAAACCTGTAACATGTAAAATATTACCCTAAATTATCTGTTACTAAATATCTGTTAAAATTTTCTCTGCCATAGTTAAATGGCAAAGCATCAGTAATTATTGGTCTGTTAGTACAACATATGTTATCACCTTTCACAGTATAAGTAACTGTTTCCATTATTCAAGAGCTATTAAACACTTGTTTTCTATTATCAATATATTGTTTGTGTATGTTTACATTAGGAAAAGGTATAACATAATTCTGGGAACTTCCTGGACAGCCCTAATCTAGTGTCTAAAACAAAGGGAAAACGATCCAAAGAAAAAATCAAGTACTTTATTCTCACAAAGCAGACACAAAGTTTCATATATTACTGTGTTTTGCAATCTTTTTTTAATTTCTCAAAATGGAGTAAAATTATGTCAACAAATAGATAAAAATTATGTAATACCTGAACGAATACTGTTGATTGAGGCAAGAACTCTTAACATGAATGCTGCAGGTACTGTGATAGTATCCCTGGTCTCTTCTAACATAATCTCATTCCGATGAATTACCTTCGTACAAAAAGAACAACATATATTCAAAAATTTGTATGTTAAAAGATTTGGTCTGAATTTCATAAACCAAATTAAGTGTAAGGAGAACAAATTAAGAAACTTTAAATATCTTAACATTAGGTTGCGGACCAACAATGACAAAAAAGATCGACCATAATTTGCAACATGATTAGATGTCTTAAAAGGCTGTAACCTGTAAAATATAACCCTTAATATCTGTTACTTGCAATGCATGACACTAAATTTTTAGTGTAGAGCTCACCAAAATAAATGATGCAGTGCTTATTTAGTCTTACAATAATTTTAATGCTTGCAAAAATGATTCCTCACAGAATTGGGACTTTTTTTGACTTCATAATCACACTGGAACATTTTTGAGGTGTCACCTAAAAATTCGATAAGTTTCATGGTAACAAGAATAAAACAACTATTAAAACAGTACCTCATGTGCTCTTTCCTCATCAAAGCCTGACTGTTGTAGTAGAGGTGCCCATATCTTTACATCATAGTCTATACCACTTGTTGCTAACACTGAAATCATTTAGTTAGCTTATAAAACTGTGTGTTTGTAACAATGGTTCTCAATGGACAATTGTGATGAAAATATTTTCTATATATATGACTGGTGCAAAGTTACAAGTAAATTTCAATTTTAAATAAGAAAGGAATTGTACAATTTTATATCAAATTTGATATCAAGGCTTTTTTAAAGGTTTTATATGTTGCATCATAAACCTGAACTCATCTTTCAAGTTATATAAACAAGCAACCATTCATACTGGGCCATTCAAAAGAATATAATTACATTTGTATGTGTAGTTTTTAAACAGATACTATGATACTTTTGTAATATGTCAGAATTGAATATACAAAATTACTTAGTATCTCAACTTAAGATACATTTGTTGAAACTAACCAGGTCGTATTACTTTTAAAAGTCTGAATACCTTATGACAAAATACTATGACCTTACTTAAGCCAAAAATGTACTGCATGTGTACAGGAAAAATCTGGATATTCATTAATCTGTCCTATTCTTTTACATTGATTCATATCAAGTTTGAATCAAATATACATAAATAATCTCTCTTTAAGCATGTATGATAATTAAGTTTGTGTCATATATTCTTTCACCCTTTGACCACTTAATTCGGAATTCTATAAAGTCATTGTCTCAAGAAAAAGTAGTATACCCACACAAACTTGGAAACTTACATGTGTGAAACGGGTGTGGTTGGACACAGTTGACAACATGTTTGTCAGCCTCTAGCAACATGACCACCTTGCTGGTATATCTATCCCAGATAAACACATGGCCACAATCAGATCCACTTAACACAAACTTGTCTCCCCAAAAGTTCGATTCTTTTATCTAAAACAGTCCAATATAAACAGTTTGATAAATTCATATCACAAAAACTGATTTTTTCCGGTTAATAATCTAGGTAGCTTATAAAAGGTTTATGGTTCTACTCATGTGCCTCCTGGTACTAAAACTAATGCACTATAAAGGAAAAGATCACCACTATCATAACAATTTGAGCTTCATGATAATTAAGACCTTGCTTGTCACTTTGTAGAATCTGTGACCTTCTACAAGGTCGATGAGAGAGCCACCTTGTATAAGTAGATATTGAACCTACAGCAGTGATATTATAACACAACCAAAAAGCCCCCTTTCAGAATATAGATTTAATTTCATTTTTGAGGGAAGTTGAGGCCATTTACTTTAGTACCACTGAAGAATCTTTAAATATTACAAAATGTATCTAATTTTAAATAAATGATTCATTATCTAGATATTTATATAGTAAACTGTATCACTTTAAAAAATCTGTCTACGTCCTACAGAAGAGTTTGACAAAAAAGGAAAATAGATAAAACATATTTCTTTACCATAGTTCTAGCATTTCTGTGACCTTTGAAAACTCTCTTGACCTTTGGCATAAATACATTTTTTGTCTGCATTTCTTTTTTCTCTTTCGCCTCCTGACGTAAACGATGTAATGCCTGTAGCTTCAGAGCTGCAGTTGTTCTCTCAAAATCAGTCCTGGAGAAAAGAAATACTCTTGTATTAATCTATAACAAGATATGTTTTAATTCTGGCAGAAAGAACAATGATGGTATTTGAACATATACTAAACGCAGCTTAATTCATCAAAGTCTGGATTGTAACAACTTGAAAAATCAAAACCGGAAAGCTCTGTATGAGCAATAATAAAACAGAAAACATTGATACAGCAAGTTTAGTGTGATTCGTTAACAAATTCTTTACTGTCAAAATAAGTGCTTATTCATATGCAGGTTTAACACACGAGGAGGCATTTACAAGGACATTGGCGATTGATGGGACACATTATTTATTGCATTCAATGTGTAGCTTAATCCAGTACCTTCTTCTTGCAGCACTTTGTTCTGGTTCATCTTCATCACTGCTATCTGTATCTCTATTTCTGGTACCAGGCTCGTCTAACTGAAAGTCACCAGTCGGAGGTCCACTATGTCCTATACGTCTACGTCTTGATGTACTTTGGCCACTCGTTGAACTCTCACTTCCTAGATTTATATATAAAAACAAAAAAATACCAGTCAAACAGAACAAAGATAAAAGGAAAGTTGAATAGATAACTATTGACAACACATTAATAAACAACATGTATACTAATAGGGATATACATTTAGTCCTTCAACAGAAAAAACCCTCATGACTTCCAGCATGTTATTCACTGTCTGAAAAATGTATAAGGTAGCAATAAAAGTCAAAATCCAGCCTCTACCTGTAGTATGAAGAGAGTTAGCATATAAATAATACATAGGTTTGTGAATAACAGTAAAAAAAATTCCTCCGAGGAAAATGAAAGTTCAAACTTTCATAACTATTTTGAACAGTAGATATAGGGTATCAGTACAGAACAGTAGATGATCAATCACCAAAGAATACTAAAGAATCACTGAATTCTACAAACTCTCATTAAACATGTTATTATGATTTACTAACTTACCTTGTTGTGAATTTGTACTTGGCTCATTATCTATTTCCATTCTCTCGGCTCTGTCCACAATTACTGGCTCGTTTGAGGCACCTTTTGAACAGTCAAATTCTATCTGAGCAGGCTCAGTTCGATTGTTAGTACATTTATCAACATCTACAACATCATCACTTTCCTCTGATATCATTTCAAGGCTTGGCTCTTTAATACTATAACTACATGAAGGCATTTCATCTGATGCTCCATCTGGAGAAACTTTACTTAGATCAGTCTCTTTCTGACTTTTGTCAAGAACTAAATGCTGTTTATTATCAGAGGATTTTATAGAGAAAGGTTTAAATGCACTTTCAGTATCACAGTCTTTGTTCATTGCATGTAAACTGTGTTCATTAGCAAATGTTTCATTCAAATTCAAAATTTTTTTAATAACCTTATCTGACTTAACTACTTGCATTTCTGAATCAGATTTCACATCAATCTTAGACTTGTTTGATTCAGGTAATTCACTCACATCATTGTCAACATCAATATCATCATCTGTCATTTCATTAAAATCAGTTCTATTACTAACATGAGGTACATTTCTGTCCTCGTCAGTATCAGCAATATGTCTATCTAAACTTTGATCAACAATATCAGAACTTGCAACTCCAACTTCACGATTATCTTCTGTCATCTCCTCTTCCAGACTCTGAAACCTTGTAAAACCAACCTTTATCATGCTAGCAGATGTGCCTTCTGACGAGTAATGCAAACTTACGACTGGTTGGACATTTTGAGCTCTAAGGGAACTAATTGCGGCTGACACTGTCTCACGGTATTGACCAGTTTCATCAGAATTATAACTTAAAGCTTCATTTCCAGTAGAGTCTACAGTTAATGTATCATTATCATTTTGCCCACTTTGATGCACTTTTTGTACCCCCACAGACTGGGACACACTACTAGTTCCTGCCTCATCTTTTGAAGCAAGCTTAGCACAGTCTGACTGTTTTTCTTGCAAGCCCTTAGCAATAGAGTCAACTTTTACATCTGTTTCCTGTGCTTCATTACACACTTGAGAAACTGGATACAGTGTAGGTTCTCTAGGATTGTATGTATCTTCTGTACCAGCACTTTCTACTTCATCAATAGGGAAACAACGATCACTGTCATCTACACGCATTGATTCAATCTTTTGGACAAAAGAAGTTTGAGATGTGTCTGATTTTGAATCAGAGGAGTCTTGTTCAGATTTTTCACTTCCAAATGTCAATTGACCAATTTGTGATGTTTGTTCTTTGATATTTAATGTTTCATGTTTTCCATCAGCACATAAATCACCTGATCTCTCAGTGGTTTCTGACTGAATTCCATGTGTCAATTCAACATTATCATTTCTTACATCAAACTGAGCTTGAGATTCTTCAGATACAGGGCTTGCAAACATTTCATTGCTACCAGTCTGATTCTGTGAATTTTCAGTTGACTGACTCTGAGATTGAACATTTTCATGTGACTGAGAATCAGTCTCATTAGGTGAAGACTGGTTCTGTGAATTTCCTGTAGACTGACTCTGAGAGAGAATATTTTCATGTGACTGAGAATCAGTCCCGGTAGGAGCAGGCTGGTTTCCTTCTTGTTCATTTGGCTGATCTGAGCCTTCTCTTGAATTGCCATATAACCAACGAGTCAACAGGTCTGACATACGATTCATAATTGCAGATCTAGGACCACCTGGTCCTGAAATATTTAAATGGTGTGTAAAAAAAGAAATTTATGGTTTCAAAATCATTGAAAATTAAGATTCCATTACAATTATAATGTAATGTAACTGAATAAGGGAACAGTTGCATACAAGGAGCTCTTTTAATGTTGTATGTTCTATTACAATAACATGTTTCCCACCATATCCACCATGCCTCTTAAGCAGTAGAGTGTTAAAAATAGTTCTTTTTCTACTTAATTTGTATCATTGCTCTTAACCATCCTTACTATGTTTAATTTTTGTACTAATATTTGCCTTAAATTTAAAATTGTCAGTTAATTTTGACAGATATCAAAAGCAAAATACAAAACTTAAAGACACACAAATAAAACATGATTTTCATTCCTATTGTTATGGTACTTTTCATGGAAGCAGAAACTGTTGTCAAAAAAAATCTCTGATTATAAACTTCAAATGTTGAAAACAATAATTTGGCATATACAAGTTTTTTAATATCAAAACAATTAAGATGTAAAATTATGCTACCTTACCAACAACCCTATACAAAATGGGTCACTGAAGAGGAAATTACTGTCTTTACAATTGCAGAATTATTAAAATACTTAAGGCAATGTTTACCGGTACCTGCTGCAGGTGATGATTGCTCATTGTCATTAGAAGCTTGACCCTCTGATCCAGTTTGACGCTCTCTTTCTGGTCGTGCTGTAGGACCGGTGTCAGACCAATCACCACGGAGACGAAGACGTTTCACAGGTGGTGCTCTTGTCAAACTGTCATCTTCAGATCTAGATGATGATGCCCCTTCACTAGGCTCAGCTAATGTTGTATGGGACTTGGCTGTTTTAGGCAGGGAAGTACCAGTTTGATCACAGTTATCATCAGTCTGCTTTGACTCAGATTCTTCCTACAAGATGTCAAATACATTCAAACTAACTATTCAACTGAAGTTTCAGGTAATAGTTATTTCAAATGAAAAGTTAAAATTCCTGTCATGAAATGAGGATGGCACAGTGAGGTTCTTTGACCTTAGGGCTAAACCTTCATGTAACTTCATTCAAACAAATAACAAACCACTGAAGTATTATCTCCACAAACAATTTTAATTTGCCCACCTCTCCCTAAAATTTTTTTCATCCAGAAACAGGTTTTTTTTTATACCAAATTGTACATGAACAGGGACCATTTGAATGCCACAATGAAGTGGTTTATAGCTCCAGTAGAATTAAAACTGACTTTCATAACTATATTATTGTACTGAAATCAAATAAGTGATGTCTGAAAATAAGATGTTGGCTATCACTGATATTTCAAATATTATAATGCAGAATTCTTTCTTCTTCTTTAGATGGGTCAGCTTAAAGGACATATTCCAAGTCAATAATAATTACTTTTTTTCCCCCAAAGCAGAAATATAGCAAAATAACACAATGCTTTTATTGTATATAATTTTGTAATAGTCCCATCAAATATAATAATAAATCAAATCATGGAATCATTTTCTTACAAAGATCTGTCATTTTGTTCATTGCCATCTAGCTTTTTTGCAGGAGAGCATGACATCATGTTTTGAAATAAACTTACATATATGTACATGTATATACATGCACTATTCAAATACTCTGATTTCCACATACACATACTACCTGTGTTTTTACTTTATAGGACTTTGTTTAAGTTAGATTTGTGTCGGAAGTTATAAGCTGATTGAAACACTCTCAAATTCATTCCTAGAACCAACCGGTTCTAAAAGTTTCTTTCTAAAGGGTTCAACAGCTTGCCTCTGATAGAGGTTTGAACCTATGCATCCAACAAGTTTGTTTACAAGTCAGACATGTTAACAATTTGAACATTCCGCCACTTCTACATACCTGTGTTTTTGAAACATCTTTTGAAAATTCTCTGCATTCTTCTTTATTCTGAAGTTAAAACAGACAAAGAAATATCATATCTATAAGACGTTATACTATGCAAGAATTCTTTTTAAATTCGCAGAGAATAAATGACAAGACAAGGGCTGTAACATTAGAAATCCACTTATGACTTTGCTATTTTTGAAGCGTCATGAGTTGTGATGCCCATATAAATTTGCGTCTTAGTTTATCAAGATTTTCATGACATTAGTTGACTTTGATATTATCCCTCTTACATGACAAGTTATGTAAAGTTTTATGTACTTCAAAGCAAATGTTAACATCATATTGTAAGAACAAGTTGAATATGCACAATCCACATAAATGGACACTCCCCAAATGTATAATTATTTGAGAAGTAAACCCATTTGCTGCTCTGAACTCCCGAGAGTTAACATTTATCTTTGTTCAACTTTATTCAATAAATATTCAATAAATTATACTAATCAAAGACTATACATTTCTTTATACAGAACTTTTGTCACAAATTAAATTGTCTTACATCTGTTCCAAACAAATAGATGAACTGTGAGGAGTAGCTGACCAGGACATCTTTTCCGTCAGGGCTGAAGTTAAGGGAGGTAACTCTATATGACTCTTTTTCCAAACTTGGCGGAGTGAATGAGCACATTAGTCCAGTAATACCTTTACCAGTGTAGTTTCCTTAAATCAGTACAAAAAAAATTTGTTTAAGACATAAGAAATAACAAGAGCTCAACGCGCATCAACTATTCCCAGTGCTTCAACCTGGACATCTTCTGATGAAAAAAAATTTTTTCAAATAAGCAATCTTAAGAATTCAAATAATACCAATCTTTATAGTTTGATTTTAAGATAAACATGTATTTATTCAGCCAGACAAACTACTTGTATATCATAAACAAAGACCTGTTCATACAAATCCCAATCAACTACACGATTTCAGCATGTTAAGGATTATTAGGGCAGTACCTGTAGCTCTAGTTCCCAGCATTCTCCTATCATAAACTCGGACAGAACTATCAGAACATCCTATACCTAGTTGCCATGGTAACACTGGGTTAGCTGTGAGAGCCGTTAATGCACTTCTACAGCTAATGAGCACATCCTGTAAATATAATCATGTTTTCTAGCATGGTTTTCATTCCATTATATACTTATTAAACAATCATGGACTTGCCTGGGAAGTCAATAAATATGCCATGTCTACATGGCAGTAAAAAACCCAACATGTTCACAGTATGACTTCATATAATTATAGCCTCAATATTAAAATCTGAGTATGAGCCAGATTTAGTATAATTAAACCAGAAAACTATTTATCAGTATTCTAGAAACAGCAAAAAGAAAAGGAAACGGGTCTTAGGAACCATTTTAACTTACTTCATTACAAGACCTTTTATTACATGACGTTTTAGCCCTAAGGTCAAAGAACCTCACAGTGCCATCCTCACCACATGACAGGAATGTTGATGCTTCATTTGGAATAACTATTACCTGAAAAACATGTTGAATACTTTTTTTACTAAAAATGTGAGATATACATGTATATTTTTTAACCTTTAACCTACAGTGAACTTCAACCGAAACTGATAAGCCTTTGCCCTCAGTACAGAGACAGGCCAGTCTGTACTTTTGTACCCTTTGAGAGGGCTCTATTCCATTGGTAGCACATTTTTTTAATTTTGATATTGAAATCCCTTAAAATTTGAATGTTATGTTTCATATTTAAATCTCTGCAAATCCACATTAATATCTGTCATTTGTTGCAATTCGGATCAGAATATCCATCCCAAGGGGACACGCCCATTGCAGTAAAGAAGCGTGTTTATAATAACACTCTTAAATTATCTTATAACTTATTGAATTAAAACGACACATACAACCATAATATAATTGGTTTATAATGCCAGCAATGTCATTCTGGATCTCATTCAAGCGAGATGTAGATATTTTTTCTGTTGGGATGTATCTGTGCATGTGATAGATGCATTAAATGCAGAAAAAATATGTGCAGGTATAAGATCACAAATCAAGGAAAAAAAGAGATAATGATCAAGTAATCTTCTTTGTGTACCTCGTACGCTGTTCCAAAGTGGCAGTCAAACAGGTATGTCCCGTTAGTGTCATTACGCTCTATATTTGTGTAGAAAATTTTCCCATCTCCTGAACAGCTCACTGTCTCAGTATCGTTACTGCTGGGAAGAAACTTTGCACTAAAGATGTTTTGTCTGTGACCAGAATGAATCTTGTGAATTACCTAAAATAATATAAATGAAAATTAACCAATTAGATACAAGGTTATATCCTCACCTTAGTGCAACAACTGATTAACTGCTATTAAATTTAGAAGGACTTTTTCCATTATTGCATGAAGGTGACAATATCTGGTTTTTTTTTTATCTGGTAGTGGTTAGTCACATCAACACTATGTCATATAGTAACTTTTCAGCTTCCTCGGCAGAAGAAGACCTCTACTGCCCATTTGTGTATTATTTTAGGCATAAGCATATTATGAGCAGAATCATCAACCTAATCTGAAGTTCTGTAAGCTAGCAGGATAGCTTCTTTGATAAGAGTGGGAAATCACTTTTGGGATTTAAGTCAGCAGCCAAAACCACTCACCCAGAGCGGTAATATCTTGCTAAACATCCAAACACATGGTAGAGCCATTTAAATGTAAGTGTAATAAACTTTTTCATACTGATGTTTTAGTTAAAATAAATCATTTTCATGATATTGTGTGGCAGTCTTGTGCCATTCTAAGTCACCAATTGATGCATCATTTAAATGTGTAAAATATAAAGAAAAGATGTTACAGTCAATGCTTTTTCACTATCTATCATAGGAAGAAATCTAAACATACCAATAAGACCTATATAAATTATCTCTTTTGTCATGAAGCTTTTACTTACTTTTCCAGTGTAGGGATTTGTGATCATTAAATGTTGGTCATCTGACCCAGATAAAATACTTGTACCCTTGTCATTCCAGCAAATTGTGTTCACCTGCATAAAATACAGCGCACTTCAATTAGATATATTCAAAAACATAACATAAAGCATACTGAATCAAATCAATGTATTAGTCATACAAAAGCTGTTGTGTTAAAACAAATTGTATATGTAAAGACATATATATTTGTTGAATGTCATTATGTGTTTGAGCTCAAATGTGAAACTCAACGCTCTTGTAACTTAAAGTTATGAATCACTTTTGAGTCACCTTCCTGGAATTTAAACCAGCTAGTACTGCAAGGTGTCATATGCGGAAACAAGGTAGTAACTCAAGTACATTAAAGTCTCGAAGATATGATCAAGAGACTGACACCTTAACCACAAGGGCACAATAAAGATACCATAATGTCCCTATAAAGTTGCAGGAAAATAAAAATCATAAGGCAATTTTCAGACACCCAACTATCCATTGTAAATAAAAGTTAATAAACGTAAACTGTGACATTAAGCTGTATATGATACATTATATAACTTATTAACACATGATCAGATTAAAGCGATGTATGTGTTACTTGCATCAGAAGAACAATACATGACTTGTTAGTATTAAAAGTTTTGCTAACAGTATACATTGAGTTTACAACTTACACATCCAGAATGCACTTCCAACTTCCTTTCGAGCTTTAACCGTTGTATAAAATCCACATTGCCTAAAATCAGGAAATTTAATGACACATGAATGAATATTTTATCCATATACATATGAACAGCAATTACTAAAATATTACTTCAATTGCAGTGGACATTTCAGCTTTTGATAGATCTACTAACCAACTCACTGGCAAGTCATGGTTCAAAGATGATTGCGTCATTATTACCGGTATTTTCAAAAAATATTAAAGGGCAAAAGTCAGGGCTCCTGAATGCAACATATCTAAATAGCTACAACATTCCAAATGTTGCTTAAAAAATAATTTTCATCAGATCGCGAAAACTGGTTACAAATTTTGACAGCTTCACTTTGAACAAACGCAAAATGCAATTTTTTGTTCAAAATAATTACCTCTTGCGGCATTGTACAACATCTGCCTATCGCCAAGACCATAACATCTTGATTGCAGCTGCTGGAACATTGTTTCACCGGCTGGAAAGCTCCAAAAAAGAATAAACCATAATAAAAAAATAATTGCTCAATAACCTATGGCATCAAAGTACTAAATATTCTGTCTTGACAGTTCTTTAGTT